GGCCTTCATATTTGAACTCAACATCTTTACACAACACGGATGTATAACACTCCTCTCCAGTAGCAATAACCACTTTCATTGGAGGGCGAATGTCATACATTTGCAAATTTAGCCCAACGGCCATAAAATCAGACATACAGGAGTGTGTAGCTCCTGAATCAAACAACACTTCAACATCCATATTATCAATGTAAATTGTACCTTTCACTAGATTCGGAGCCTTCTCCGATTGTTGACGGTCCATGGTATATACTCTACCAACCGTCTGAGACTCTAGCATAGGTTAGTGACCGGATCTTCCACATTTAAAACAAATAAATTCACCAGTAGCACATGGACCTTTATGCTCTCTGCCACATCCCTTGCACTTGGGAGGAGGTCCTCTATCAACAAAATTCTTCTGAGTACCGGGTTTTTTGAACAAGTCAAAGGGCCTATTCACCTTTAGCTTCTTGCCTTGCATCTTTCTGTTCTTCCAATAACCTGAGCCCGTTGCTTTATTGGAACTAGGTGTCTGGGCCTCAGAAGGCTTCTTGGTTTGGGACACCTTATACACTTCTTCCACCTTTCTACACTGGTTTACAAACCGACTGAACTCTCGGATGTCACAATTTGACATCTTTCGAGACATCTTCTCATTAAGACCCCATTGGAATTTGGAGGTCATTTCAGCCGGAGTGGGTAAGGCTCGCCCATAGTTGGCGTATTTCACCAACTCATTAAATTTCGAGAAGTATTGGTCAATAGACATCGACCCTTGCTTGAGATCGTTATACTCATTCTGCTTTTGTTCCCTAGCCTCTCTAGGGAAGTAGTTATCCAAGAACAATGTCTCGAATAACCGCCATGTGATATCCCGACCTTCAGCTTCTAATGGCTGCACGGTATTTGCCCACCAATCCTCTGCTTCCTCTTCCAGCATATAAACAGAGTAAGCCAACTTCATTGCGTCAGGGCACCTCATCACCCTGAATATTTTCTCCATCGCTTGGAGCCATTTTGCAGCCGCCATTGGCTCATAACCTCCCTTAAAAGAAGGAGGTTTATGTTTTCGGAAAGCCATCAATCTTCTTTCCTCCACTTCATGATCACCGACATTTTCAACTTGAGGTTGACGAACCTCAGTGTGATGACTCCGACTTCCGGAGTGGTGACTACCCTCACCCTCATTGTTACCCACTCCACCCTCTTCCTGTGAAGGAGGTGGAGAAGGCGTAGCTGTGTGAGGAGGAGGAGTAGGTTGCCGGTTCACGGGCCTAGGACCCCTCAACGTCCTCAACTCGGTCATCATTGCGGCCATAGCAGTCCGCGAGTCTTCATTTGTTTTCATCAGATTTTCATTGGTTTGCCTGCTAGCAGCCAACTCCCTCTGAACAGCTGCAAGAGCTTCAGCTACGGGATCAGGCTGTACGCCCGTTGCCCCACGGCCACTTCTAGGCCTCACAAGAGCAGCCAAAACAGGTTCTGGCTGAGCATTGGTGTTTGATGGTCCGGGGTTGTTTCGGTTCCTCGTCATGTCACTACACATGTTACACAAAGAAGTGAGTTGATCAGGCTCACACTTAGTGATCACATATGCAATAATCATAAAGAGTACTAAAACAACTATAAAGCATCAAACACTAAGCACACTCAACAATAGCTAACAGTTATTCCCTACGAAACTGCTCTGATACCATAAAATGTAACACCCCGTTCTAGAACCGGTTTGTTAACATCGCATTATGATATTAAGCGCAGTTACAATCACATGGGTTCAATTAAAATCCGGATAAATTTTTCATTTTAAAACGTACCGAACTTATAATACCCATTTTCGTGATCATAACCATATTACCTTGCGGAAATAGATAAATTAAGCTTAACATCATGTTCATTTTCCATTTTTAAACCATTCATTTACTTCTTATTTATTTCACAACTTCTACTATATTGTAGGTTTCTTCATTAGCTACCCGTGGCTTCAAACCGTGCTCAAATCGGAGCACTGTAGCCCAAGTTAGGACAACTTGAAGCAACACAAGAGAGTGTTGGTCACAGGCCCCGCGCGCTTCAGCGCGCTACCAGGCGCTCAAGCGCGCGCTATCGGGCGCTAAAGCCTCCATCTGGGCGCTTAAGCGCACGGAGGCAGTAAGCATCAGGCATTCTAATGTGGATGGGCGCTTAAGCGCGCATCAGGGCGCTCAAGCGCGCTACCCTGGGCGCTTAAGCTCCCACTGGGACGTTTTAGCGCGCAGAGACAGAAGCATCTCCTCCCTCAGTGGCTAGGGGCGCTCAAGCGCGGACCAGGGCGCTCAAGTGCGCAACCCTGGGCGCTTCAGCCCCACCCTGGGCGCTAAAACACGAGGGAGCAGTAAGCCACCCAACTTTCTGCAGCAAAGGGCGCTTAAGCGCACGCCAGGGCGCTCCAGCGCGCAATCCTGGGCGCTTCAGCCCCCACTTGGGCGCTCCAGCGCGAGGAGGCAGAATGCATTGGCACTCGCAGGGGCAGCAGGGCGCTTGGGCGCGCTCCTGGGCGCTTAAGCGCGCTGCCAGGGAATTCCAATTCCCACATTTCTCAAGTCCAAGCCTAGGGGAAGATGCATCCCCATTACAAACCCCAATTGTCCATGCCCCAAAACTAAATCCTAGCACTCATCCAACCTCTCCTCATGAGATTTGGCTAGAATTTGGGCAGCATGACCTTTGTTTTCTCATCGTTTACCAATTTAAACAAAGGGTACCTGATTGATTTTCAGCCCAACCAATTCAACAACTCATTACATAACAAGCATGCATATATTGAATTTCAAGTAGGCATCATTTACATTACATATCCTTTACAAATCATAGAACTTAGCTTACAAAACACTATGATCATTCCCTTGGCTCCCATCAACAAAAGGTGTAACCAAAGGCATGAGCATAGGCTAAGTTCATCCAATGAATCAAGATATACAAATGACCATGGGCTTTCAAAATAAAATCCTATACATATCAACTACAAAAGGCATGCATAAACTCAAAAGAAATGCCACATTTCATGCATAATCCAGATATGGCCACTTGCCACCAGAGGCTCCTGCAGCATCCTTACCTGAAAGGGGGTCCCCACAACACGGGGTGAGATATACGAATATATCCAGTAAACCAGGGGTCCTTGGAGCATCTCTCCACCCCACAGTTCCATATCAGTGTAATAGCAATAACAATAATAATGCAGTAAATACATATCTATGCAAAGTGCTATACATCTCCAGGAGAACTCCCTCGAGCTCTCAAGCTGTCCTAAGGAAACTCAGATGCAAATAGTCCTACTGGCCAGCTAACTACCAAGTATGATTTACGCATCGTCATGCAACATACCACATAGGGAAACACCATCCTATGCCACACCAAATGCATACACATACATATAACAAAGCATTACACTATTTCATTGCATTTATATACACTATAATTACCACTACCCTCTCAGGGCTTGGTGGAACAATCAAGGGAATTACACCCAAGGTCCGAAGGCTTACCTCAATGCTTCAGTCGACCTTTGTTCTTCACCAATGTCAACAATACTCTACTCCAAAACCAACACCTACACATGGTGTAATGCAATCAACACATTGCATCCAAGAGTATTTCACAATCAACCATCAAATACTCAATTCAAAACACCACACAAGTGTGAGCTTACCAATTCCAATGAGCTACTCAAGCTCCATAGCTTGTTCAAGCGGTTGATCACTCACGGTTGGTCCAAATGTCTCAATCCTAGACATCACAAGGATCCAATCAATCATTCCACTCACTAATTGTTCAACATGCTAGAATACTAACCAATCCAAGCATGAATTTTCCAATATTATGAACAATTATCAAATGACTATCTAGGCTCATTTCCACCGATTAAATGTCGTTCCTAGCATTTTTCACAACATGCTCTAAACTCCATTCTTCCTAGAACATAGCTAATTCAACTACATTTCATAAAAATCCCAATTTACTATTCACAAACCCTAACTCATGCAAATTTCAAGGAATCATGAGGCTCAAGGGTTAGAATCTTACCACCAATGGTCACACAACCAAGCAAGGAGTGTTCCTCAAGCTCCCATGGAGGTTGAACTTCCCAAAATTCCAAAATCTCTCCAATGGCCGAATTTTAGAGAGGCAATATCCCTCTCCACAATGCTCCACACTCAAAACAAAGCAAGGATTATTATGAAAGAGGAGGAGATTCTAAGCGATTTAGGCTTTTGAATCACTCAAAATGGTTGAGATTTGCTCCCCCTAGGTTCTCTCTCCCTCTCCCTCTCTTTCTTCCTCTTCTTTCTCTCTTCTCTTCTGTTTCTGGCGTCGACGGGAATGGGAGGGTTTGGGGCTCTTTTGGTTACTTTATCACTTAACATAGGTTAAGTGGTAACATGTGGGTATTGGTTCGTCTATCTATTCAACTCCAATAATTACCAAACTTTACCCAAAAGTCTGGAATATTATTCTAGGAATATTACTATTTTTATTTTTATATTTTGGGTACTTTTGCCAGTACCCATTTATACCCCTTAATTTTCACTGAGTACACTTTTTAACTCCAAAGTGACTCAGATTCATTTAATTAAGCCTTATACTTAATTTCACTCACTAAAACATGTTTAATTAATTAATTACACTTGATTTACTAATTAATTAAGATGGGCTATTATAGTATGCATATATGAGGATCTAAAATATTGGCAGGTTAGAATTTTTGCCATGATGGATGAGCCTATCTTAGATGCCATTTGTGAGAGACTAAGACAAAAGACATACATCAAAGGAAGTAGAATTTTGAGCCAGGGTGGTCTAATAGAGAAGATGGTCTTTATTGTACGTGGAAAATTGGAGAGCATTGGAGAAGATGGAATTGGACTTCCCTTATCTGAAGGGGATGCTTGTGGTGAAGAACTTCTGACATGGTATCTTGAACATTCTTCTGTTAGCACAGGTATGCAATTATCAACAATATGGATTCACTACTAAATTTGAAACAGCATGGTTCATCAATAAGGTTTGTCTTGCAGATGGTAAAAAAGTAAGGCTTCCGGGACAGAGATTGCTCAGCAACAGAACCGTAAAGTGCTTAACAAATGTGGAGGTTTTTTCACTCCGAGCTGCAGATCTTGAAGAAGTCACAAGCCTTTTCACGAGATTCTTAAGAAGTCTACGTGTTCAAGGATCCCTAAGGTCATTCATCTCCTTGTTTTTGTTGTATCTTGGTTCATGGTTCAGCAGCATAATCTTGAGCATTTTATTTTTATGACTTAGCAATATGAAAATTAACTACATGTCTTTCATGAATAGCATAACCTTTGTTGTATCTTGGTTCATGGTTTAGCATAATCTTGTTCCTTTATGTCTACGACTTGTCTACATTACTTAGATTTCAATGGTTCATTCTCATTAAGGGCTGTCCATAATCATCACACTTCATATTATGCAAATCACCGTGCACAATGAGAGGGCACAGAGTCAATAGGTATGGTATGTGTGCACAATAACACTGAGGAAGTTGGCGTTTCAGAATGTGTACCTATGGGATGAAATCCTTTTTTTATAGAGTATTTTATACCTGAGAATGGACTTGGGCTGAATATGTTAGGTATGGCTTATACTTCGCATTCAGATGAAGACTTTTGTTGGCAAGCCAGCGTTAAGACCCATTATATCTGTCCATAACAAAAATGAATGGTTGATATATGATATAAAACACCTTTGATCCAAATCCTGCTTTCCCAAAAAAAAGAAAATAGAAGGAAAGAATTGCCCTTAGTATATATGTCATAAGTTTGTCATTTTACTTGTAGAAAACCCAATTTCTGTTTACAAATCCATGGCTCTGATATAAATGATTTGATCATTTTATTATGTTAGGTATGAGTCACCTTATTGGAGATCCCTTCCCTTGCAGCAACCCGAATTCAGGTTGCATGGAGATACAGGAAGAAGCGTCTAAGTCGTGCTAATACATCACAATCAGTTCAAACATTGAAGTCCTATGTTGTACTGTAATATCTGATTAGCTACACTTTGTTGTAGATCGTCTGTTCACTTGCTTCCACATACAAATTTTCTTTTTAAAATTAAACAATAATTAAAAGCTAACGCATAATGAGTGTTACTTTGCTTATAACTAGTATTTTTTTTTGGGAGCATATTTTCTTATATAACAGGAAATAAATGATCTCCTACATAGACACACAAACACCATGGACCTTATTGTACAGGAAAAAGGAAAAAAAATGTAGTGGGTCTCACATTATATTGAATCAGCCGGAAAGTGAAGACTTCTTCTGTTACATAAGACTTACATTTCTCATTTTTTTATATCATTAATCATTGGTTCAAATAATGAATAAGATCATTAATGTATGATGGAGAAATCCAAAAAAAAAAAAAAAAATATTTCCCTTTATTTAAAAAAGATAACTTCAACACTTAAAAAAATCAATCTTCATCAAAAGTTGAAAATTTATGAAAACTGGTTTACAAAAAGAAAAAGAGAAATGGAAAGATAATTTCATATTTCATTTTGTCTCATCATGTTTAAATGAAGTAAAAAATGTAAAACGAACGAAGTGGACAAGAGAGGAAAGAAAATTGGTAAACAAAATTTCAAATGTTACACCTAGACCTACCTTGATACCCTCTGCCATTATGACTTCAAATGCTAACCTCCAATTTTGGATGTTACTCTCCCTTGACCCTCCATTAGCAAGTGCAATTTCCTCTATGAAAGATGTTTCCTTCAAATAGATAGGTCTTGATTTGTTCATAAAGCTGAACACACACTTGTGAAAATTTTATGGATCGATTTTCGTATAATATTATCACTAAATTTGTAATCCCATTTTTGAAGGAAAAGAGAAACCGATTTAACTCTTCAAAATTTTCTCTCCCTAAATTGCTCTATTAATAGAGTATGTATTAATAGATATTATATAGGGATAGGATATTCTGACACCCAAGTTATGTTACACTCATGTGACACCCATTCAATCTCACCGTTAGATCGCTTATGTTGATTCAACGATTATATTTATTTCCATCTTTGTATGGTCATGATTTCCCAAATTTAAAGTGAAAGCATTAAATATGGGAAATCATAACCATACAAAGGTAGAAATAAATATAAAATATTAAATTTGGGAAATCATGACTATACAAAGATGGAAATAAATATAACCGTTAGATCAACATAAACGATCTAACGGTGAGATTGACTGGGTGTAACATAACTTGGGTGTCACAATATCCTATCCTTATTATAAAATATAAATTTTCTATTTTATTCTATTTATTTTTCTTATTTTTATTTATTATATTTTTTTTTTAGTTTTACAATATACCATATAAGTATATGATAATGTTAGACTTTTTATAGAATTAGTTGAGTGTAAAGATAAGTGTCTTCGAACAAATATAATTATTTACCATCTAATAGAAATGACTCTTCACTGTCAAACATGTACCATCCATCGTTTATAAATATTAAAGGAAATCAAAATAAATCAGTCATTTTTTTATTTTCCTCCTTTACCGAAATTCTGTCAAAACATTTTATGAAATCTTTGCATTCATCATATATTCATTTTGTGCAATAATTCAAACAAATGTTACATTCGCCAGTACTATTTGTTGAAAAGTGTCATCAATAAATAAAGGTATATATTCTACATTAGTAAAGAATTATCATTTACTTCTAGACATTATAAAGATGACAAGTTATCTTAAGGAAACAATATCTAACCGTGGCTTGGATTTGATTTTTTTATGTTACAATTAATTTTACATCGTTTTCGTTTCATCAATTTCTTTATTGATTATACTCTTAAGTACATCAACTTTTAAAACTCAAATTTCTCCTCATTTCTATTTTATGTGCTTCTGTCCCCATCAGATATAACTTATTATTGTGCTCATAGCAATTGATTATGCTACTGCAGCTGAGCTCCCTCTATTATTCCAATTCGTCTAACGCTGTTTAAAATTTTGCCATGGAACAGTTATTTTATTATTTCCTCACTGGAGTATCATTTAAACAAGTTCCTTACTAGTCTAACATGTTTATTATGTGTGTTTTTTTTGTTTTGTGTGTGTGTGTGTGGGGGGATTCTCGAACATACTTGCATTATCTGCATTCCCATCATTAAATTCTAGAGTCAAATACATCCAAGTTAGATCTGAAACACAAATAAGTAAATAAAAAGGGGGGGAAAGTAAATAGATGCAAGAAACAAATAAATTGGACATACAATATTTCAAAACAGAAAAGAGGAATGTTATATATAAAAATGGGACTATTATTATTTTTTAAACTTACTATTTTTACTATTTATTTAATTATTGTTAGATTAATTTAAAATCAATGACAATTAATTTTTTAAATTATTTAATTTTAAATTAATTCAATAATGATCAAACAGATAATAAAAATAAATTTAAAACAATGGTAAATATAACTTTTCAAATAAATATAAGACCAAAATATAGGACATACATTCTGCAGTAAACTTCAATGATGTCAACTTTTCAGTCTTCTAAGCAAAAAAAACACCTACAACTATATGGTTGATATTAAACGTCTTAGAATAATTTATATAATTCATAATTCATGTAAAGTTATTAAATTATATATAAATTCATTCTAATATAAGACTTTTAAAATAGATCATTAGCGTGACAGGTGTCAAATTATAAATCTCACGAGATTCTTCTTTTTCCTTCAACATCTCTCTATCTCTCTCTCTCTCTCTTGGCTTATACGTTGTTGTATACAACCGAAAGTGCGGTCACGACACGTGAGCAGTCACTTTCTTGCACGTGTCGGCCCTTTATTCATGAACGGATCTTTTGAGTACCGCGTTTTCTGGAAGCTTCACACGAAACCCCCATCCCACCGTCCATTCCTCACATCATCCAGCGATCGTAGCCGTCTCCTCCTCAACCGTTCCTAAATCCTCCACGCAATCAAAGGACACGTGGCGAAAAAATAACGGTCAAATCTAAAATAACATTATTTTAATCTTATCCTCTTTCCCCCCTCTATAAAACTCGCTTCAGCCACAACTTCCATTTCTCACTGGATCCACTAAAACCGAACAGAACAGCAGAGAAAACAAGTTCAAGAGATTTTTTATTATTTTTACTATTTTTATTTTCTCAGATATTTTATTTTCCGGGAAATTTGATTTAAAGAGAAAGAAAGGAAAAGAAAATGGCGTTTAGCATGACTCACCAGATCGGGAGCCTCGCCGGGGCTCCGGTGCTGTCGGATTCCACGTCGGGAGAGTCCGCGGCGACGATGAGCGCGACGGCGGTTTGGAAGTCGCCGGCGGCGAGTCTACGTTGCAAGGTGAGGAGGTCGGACGGAACGTACGCGGACGGGTTATCGCCACCGCTGAGCCCGTGCAGGTCGCCGGTGCTGGGAGGAATCCGGCCGGATCTGTCGGTGGCGTGCCAGGCGTTCGCGACTGAGGCTGCGACGGCGACGGAGGAAGAAAATGAGTACGGAGTTGGAGCTAAGGGGAAGGTGGAGGGGACAGGAGTGCCGGTTTATGTGATGATGCCGTTGGATAGCGTGACGATGGGGAACGGTGTGAACAGGAAGAAGGCGGTGAACGCGGCGATGGCGGCACTGAAGAGCGCCGGTGTGGAAGGGGTGATGATGGACGTGTGGTGGGGACTGGTGGAGAGGGACTCGCCGGGAAACTATAACTTTGGCGGTTACGCTGAGCTGTTAGAAATGGCGAAGAGGCATGGCCTCAAGGTTCAAGCGGTTATGTCCTTCCACCAATGTGGCGGTAACGTCGGTGACTCTTGCACGTGAGTTTTTCTTACATACTTTTTTTTTTTTTAATCATTATTAGTGGAGTTTGGTATGGTTATTAAATTTCATATTCATGAGTAGTTTGTGTTACTTGATTTTTATTCGAATTTTATTTGAATTTTTTCTGTTTATGTGATGTTACTTCAATATTAAGGGTTTTATAATTAGAAAATTTTCCAACACACTCTTTGATATCTGTGTTGTTGTGGATATTACATGTAATTTTTTTAATATATGGGTCAAAAAATATGTGTCACACATGTTTTTTTATCTTTATAACATAAGATTTCAATTCTCATATGACTTGACAATTATAAAACTCATTAATTAAAGAATTTAATATAATAAAAAAAACTATTATAATTTTGAAATAAATTATAATTATAAAAATACTTTGATTTTCTCTGATTTATGCCTTAAAATGTCATAACGTAGATAAGTTATTAACATTTGACTATTGACGGTAGAAAAAGGGAAATCCTTACTTAAATATAGTTAAGGAAAAATGTTTGTCATTTTAAATTACACAAAATTATGTTACGTCGTTTTGGTGTGTTTTAACATTCTCTATTCTCTTTTTATTTCTAATTTTATAAATTAGAAAAAATGACAAAAATGACAAAACACACCAAAGTGATGAGCACCGTGCAATAAGTTTTATGAAAAAATAAAATAAGCGGGTAAAGCGTGTGGTTTACTGACGGAGAGATGAGGCCATGTGAGGTTGGACTTTTGTATTATTTTGCTTCTAAATGTAGTATTAGCTTTTCTATGGAATGAAGCTACTTGACTAGGAAAGAGTATATTTGGAACTTGGAATTGTATTTTGGGGAAAATAATCAACTTTATTATTGTTTAACTTTTTTCTTTTACCGTAACAAACAAGGTAATTTTTTGTCATTTAAAATATTAGTGCTTTATTTTTATTATGATTAGAAACTGAAGTTGATTTTTTTATTCTTATACTCTTAAAAATAATGGATAAAATTGATTCTAGGTTTTTTTTAAATGATTATTATATGGGTTTTGTATTTGTTATTTTATTTTATTTTATTTTTATCTTAAAAATAAAGGACCCATAACAAGAGGGTTCTTCTATAACATGATACTTGTTTTCCACGGTATAGAAGTTCATTTTCATCTTTCAAAAAACGTTTAAAATATTATTCAAAGTGGCGTGGTGATCACGGTGCAACGAGTCTTATTTTATTTGTGGCTCATAGTGAGGCCACGTGAGGTTGGACTTGTATTGTTTCACGTTGGCATCGCTACAAAAAGTAAATTAGCTTTTGCCTTTTAGGGATCTACATTTAGGTTAGTGGACCCAAGATCTTAACTTGTTTTGTACAGATGACTGTATGAATTTTATGTTTAGGTCAAGAATTAATTTATCAAAAAGAATATTTTATTAGTTGGGCTAGTTAATACTTTGAATTGGATCCACAAATGTCTTTTAAAATTAATTAATATACAATAATTGTTTTCGATGGCTATTTCGGGTTATCCCTAACATGATCATGACCGCTAGAGCACATGACATTAACTTCGTAAGGTAGAGACGAGATTGTTAAAAGTATCATTCTTAAGGATTTTCTTCATGTCATATAATATGATCCGAATTTAATGCAACATGGGCATAATAGTACACGTTGATATGTGTCCACTCCCAAAAGAAATGGGAGGATAAAGAATTAAAAAAACTGAACTGGTCCAATTGCCAAGTTTATTTTCTATCTAGATTTTTAATTGCCTTATTTGTTTGATTTTATAATATTATTCCCGAGTCTGGCTACAAGTGGCACTGGGTCTGAATACCTGGTGTCTTCTTCATGGGCTTACCGATTGTTGTCTTGTGTGCAGTATTCCCTTGCCCAAATGGGTTGTGGAGGAAATTGACAAAGATTCCGATCTAGCATATACTGATCAATGGGGAAGAAGAAACTATGAATATATATCACTTGGATGTGATACTTTGCCAGTACTCAAGGGCCGAACACCAGTTCAATGTTATGCTGATTTCATGCGAGCTTTCAGAGACAATTTCAAACACCTTCTTGGTGACACTATTGTGGTAAATATCTATTTTGCCCTTTTTAACGATTCTGTCTACCTTAGTAAAGTGGGTTCTCAGTGCACTTTTATATAATGCTGTTGTTTGTTGTGCAATAAATATTCTTACCTGAACTTCTATCACTGGCACGATTCAGGAAATCCAAGTTGGGATGGGACCAGCTGGTGAACTGCGTTACCCTTCATACCCAGAGCAAAATGGGACATGGAAATTCCCAGGAATTGGTGCTTTCCAATGCTTTGACAAGGTATATAAATATCTATTTATTGTCTATATTTTTTTTGTTTTTTCTCTCCTGTACTCTTTTCTTACTTGATTGTTTTTAAGTGTTACTTTGCTTTGTAATGGTGCAGTATATGTTGAGTAGCTTAAAAGCTGCTGCTGAAGCTCAGGGTAAGCAAGAATGGGGAAGCACAGGCCCTACTGATGCTGGCCACTATAACAACTGGCCAGAAGACACACAATTTTTCCGCAAAGAAGGTGGAGGCTGGGATGGTCCATATGGCGAATTTTTCCTCACCTGGTACTCTCAGATGCTGTTGGACCATGGTGAGAGGATTCTCTCATCAGCCAAGTCAATCTTTGATAACTCTGGTGTTAAGATATCAGTGAAGGTTGCTGGTATTCACTGGCACTATGGTACTAGGTCTCATGCTCCAGAGCTCACAGCAGGATATTATAACACCCGTTTCCGTGATGGTTACCTCCCTATTGCTCAAATGCTGGCTCGCCATGGTGCTATTTTCAATTTCACGTGTATTGAGATGCGTGATCACGAGCAGCCACAAGATGCTCTTTGTGCACCCGAGAAGCTCGTGAAGCAAGTGGCTTTAGCTACGAAGAAGGCACAGGTCCCACTTGCTGGTGAAAATGCATTGCCACGGTATGATGACTATGCACATGAGCAGATAATAAAGGCATCACAGTTGAATGTTGATGATGGTAACCCAGATGACACAGAGATGTGTGCATTCACATACCTGAGGATGAACCAGCAATTGTTTCAACCAGATAACTGGAGGAAATTTGTGGCATTTGTGAAGAAGATGAAGGAAGGGAAAAGTACCCATAAGTGTTGGGAGCAGGTGGAGAGGGAAGCCGAGCATTTCGTGCATGTTACCCAGCCTCTAGTTCAAGAGGCTGCTGTTGCACTCTGATGCACCAAGAATTGTTGGAGTTCTATTATGTTAGTAGGGCTTAGGAAACAGTCACGAGTAGGCCCTGAAAGTTTTAGTGAACCAGAAGCCTAGATTTGTGGCCATGAGTATGTATAATTCTGTATTATATTGTTGTATTCTACAACTTCCTGTTATTTTAATCTAAAACTTTTATTTATTGCCCTTCGTATTGTAGCGTTAGCATAAAGAATTTTGGGGTAACTACTAGCTACTTCACCTTTACAAAATAGTTATTTTTTTCTACATCAATAAACTGAACTGGTCAACAAATAAAGTCATTCTATATTAACTACGAATGCACTTTTACAGGAGATAATGCATTTGATGAGTTTCCGCAGAAGTTTGTTTGAATCTAACCTCTTTTATTTTTACGTGTGTTCATATTTGATGCTTTAGAAGTTGTGTCTCCTGCGTTATATGATATTGGATTCCAAAGAAGAAAGTGAACGTGCTTTAGGAGTTATATCTAGTATACTGTAGGGGATCTATTAATCTCATCGAGATAATTATCTCATGCAACAAATATAAGATTGTGGGGTCCATTACTTTAAAAAAAAAAAAAAAATAGTGAATCTCACTATTTTATCTCTGTTGTATGAGATAATTATCTTATGAAATATGAGACAATTATTTCTCATACTATAGTACCTGTACACTTAGTCGCAGTTGAATTGACTTGAGAAAATCTTTATCAACTTTATAGCTGTACATGTAATAATGTTTACACTTGTGCCATAATGAATAAAAGTATGCTGTCTGATGACCATACGTAATAATTGAAAATTGAGCTGATAGCGTCTATGTTCATTGATTGTTGTGATAAATATGATTCTTCAATGTCAATGTAATAATACCTGCAAAGATGAATTACAAAGAATTTTCAGTAGGTCCTACAACGATAGAGTTGCTTATCAACTAATTGTCCCATATAGAAAATCTCCTCTTCATGGCTTCTCACCCTAATAATTAAAGCAGCAGCTACTTATCAATGGTTGTCATTTTCAGTCCTCCTTGAACAAGCAAAAGATCTGCAGTGATCTCATCTAGAAGTACATTAAGGGTAAGCTTTTCCATATCCCTTATAACATCACATTTTTCCATAAATGCAAATGTCTCCTCATTCCAACTGAAACCCCACATACAGTTTATGTCTGGATCTCTATTGTAGACATCATGTTCAAGCATTTTAGGTAGGTAGTCCTCAACATCAGCTAGGGAACTTCTGTTCCTTCCATAGAATTTAAGCTTCTCCATGTCTTTATTAAGCTTTCTAACCAAGTCATCTAAGGAGCTTATGTTAATTGTGTTACTGATTGATATCTTGGAGCAAGGATAAACTCTGAGTTCTTCCTGTATCCCCTTTCGTTTCATCACCTCATAGCCACAGTCTAATATGAGCTTACTGTCTTTGCCTTGATTGTCCTGAAAAACACCTTGAAGAATGCTGAACGGAATGTTGAATCTGAAAAGTGCTTCTGCAGTGTTGAGGAATGATTGACTCATTGCCAAGATCCACTTGAGGCAGTTTTCGCCTTCTGTTAGTGGCTCTTGAATTCTTTTTTCTGAAATATTTTGATCTTGTAGTTGTGAGTGGTTTGTAATACCCGTTCTGTCTTCTTGGATTCCTGTGATATTAAAAAATGGAAGTAAAATATAATACTTTGCTTGTATCATTTAATCTATATTTTTAATAGCAATATCTTACTTTGTAAAGCTAAATTGAAAGCAATACATTCACATGTACAAATTGGGTGAAGAATGATGTGTTGTGACCAAAAGGAAAAACAATATAAAAAAAAAAAATATATGAGACACAGATTCTAAAGTACTGTTGTTTCTGTGGATTTAAGGTGGTTATTTTTATTTTTTTCTTTATGTTGAAATGGTGACTATATAATAAGGGTAAGGCTTATCAATGCTCGATGATAGATGTTGGCCTTTTTTGAGCCATGCTTCTGCTAAGTTGAGAAAGAAAACTTGAGCTTGAACTCACCATTTTTTGTATTTAATGCACTTTCACCAGTCTTGAGTTCTTCATCTGCAGTCAAAGGAGCAGCATGACCTTGCAAATCATTGGTCGTCACTGAATGCAAATATTGATCCTGCAGCATATCCAGCAAGGTTTATGTTTGCTTGCAATAAACGTTAGTGCTGCGAGAATCTCTGTCAGTAGAGAATTCTTTTTTCTTCTATTGTTTGTTACCATCATATGAAACAATTTTAGATCATAGTAAAATAGAACTTACCAAGTCATTTGAAGCTAAAGCAACTTGTCCTTGTAGGCTATGGAGTTCTCCACCATCAGAACTGTATAAGGTAGGAGGTAGTTCAGCTTCTTTATGTGGTGGGTGTCTCTCATCTAGTGTTTCAGCAGCAACTACTGATTCTTTAGAGCTAATTATGCGTGCTTCTGCTTCTTTGTGTTGTTTTACTTGCTTTATAAAAAGCTTTCTTCGGTTTTTTACATTCAACACTTCACCAATCTTCCCAGGTATGCCAACGTTTTGCCTTTTGGTATTGTTTACCTTTATGTTGGCCAGTTTATGAACACTTTCTTCATCCACTAGTGTTATCATCCCACCTGACTTCCTATTGATCATGTCTTTTACTTTCTTGGTGTCATTGGAGGATTCATGTCTGACTAGATCATCATAGTAGCTACATAAAAATCCTTCCGGTTTCATATTCATAGCATCTACATTTGCTGCAAATATTTTCTTAAATGATGTAGCTTGGTTTTGCTGCTGCTTCTGAGAATTGACGAATCTATGATGGGGTATTGATGAATTTTTGGATGCCAATTCACTCCCTCCTTTTGGTATAGCCAGTAACATTTTCTTTTCCATCTGCTGGATCCACTGTTCTCTATGATGTTTTTCTGCTTGAGACCTGTATTTGGAGAGGGTGTCTGAGTTTTGAACTCCAAGATGATTCTGGGACTTCTTTTGATTGTTCACGGTGTGCTTGTTTGTGTGTCTTGTTACCAATTGAATATTACTTCCATTGATTTCTTTTTCTTCCAGCAATGAAGATTTAACTTCTGATCTTTCAGTCACTTCTTCCTGCTTGGCCAGCATATTATTTAGAGTTGGATCATTGGTTCTTCCCTTTACTGTGGTTTTTTGTTCCCTGCTATTAGCATGATCCTGTTTTCTTCCTTTCCCCCAAAAAGTCTTTTGACTTTCAGTAACAAGTGTCATTTGAGCAGCACTATTATGCTTCTCAAAGCCTTTCAATGATTTTATTCCATCCAGGTCTCTCCTCAGTGGTTTTTCATTATGAACAAGTACCTCGGAACTGGCCTTTTGAATGAGCAATTTTTTATTAGCACCAAACATGAGCTCCTCTTCCTGAGTTGCAGGCATGTTGAAGGCTTCTATCACTTTTTGCTTTTCCACTGCTACCAATTTCTGTGTTGTTTGTTTGTTATGTTCAGTCTTCTTGGTGCTCTCTCTTGTTGTACGCTGAGATGTCATTCCATGATTTCCTCCAATTTTCTGTGTATAACCTGAATCCTTCTGTGGCATGTGTTTCAATTCCACTTTCTCCGGAAGGTTATCCAGCCCCATTAATTTGGCTATTACATTTGGAATCTTGCCCTTTTCTGGGTTGGATTGCAGTGAGGCTAACTGCTTTTTCTGTTCTGAATTGACTTTGAGATTCTTAATGTCAGAGCTAGAGCTAGCTGGTAGCTTCAGAGAAGCTTTTGAAGTTTTCCCATCTTGCTTTTTGTTATTTGAGTTTTTGCCTTCATTAGAGTAATTAACAATAATTTGTCTCTGCATAAGAGTATGTCTGGAAGACTTGTCAAGGGAGAAAGTTGTTCTTGCCAATTGCTTTTGCTCAGAAATTTTGATTGTTTTGTCATCATCATCATCACCATCCTCCTCTAATAGTGTGATCCTACTTTTCCTCTGTGGAGAAATCATGAACTCTGAACTTTTCTGCATGTCTACTAGCATCCTGAGGGACTCTTCCAAATTGATAGCTCCTTGAAATAGTTTCTTTGCAAATTGTATTGAATATCTGTCTATGTTAAGATCACTGGAGCTAGCTCTCAATATCTGGTTTAGTTTCTGTGCACCTTTGGATATCTGATTTATCTGCATAGGAGAGAGAGCCTGAAAGTGGTTAGTTGAAGCTTGTTTCCTAACCAAATTGCTTTGTCTTTCCACCATGCCTAATTCCGTTGTTCCCCTTTTAATTTGGTGAAGGAAAGCCATAGTGGAACTATTATGAGAAGAATCAGCTCTACTTAGTTTCCCTCCATTCTCAAAAGCAAAAGCCAGGTCTAGAGACATATCATTCATTTTCAATGAGCTTTGACCTTTCCCATATGGAACAATCTGATTTGAAACTCCCCCATTTCTTGCTGACCATTGACATTTGCTAGACCTACTCAGCATGTCCCCAGTTCTGGAAGTAACCTGCAGAACATGAAACAATTTAACTAAAAAGGGCAAATCTCGGTACACAAAACTCCCCGACTTGCCAGAGTGGGGTAAGGGTCGATTGTACACAGTTTTATCCTTATATTTTTACAAAGAGACTGTTTTCATATTCGAACCTGTAACCTTTCGGTCACAAAGAGCAACCTTACCGCTGCTCCAAGGTTCCGACCTTAATTAACAAATTTTTTTCCATCTGCTTCAATGTGTACACAGAATATTCAAACATACGATAACTTACAATTTCATTGGCTTTTGTACTTTTGGATCCTCTGTATGTTTGCTTGGAGTAAGCATATGCATCTGTTTGTACATAATTGATAAAATAAGATCGCATAAATTATTTTGCATATCTGAAAATTCTAGTTAATAGTACAATTTTATGCTAGCAAGCCTGATCAGATATCGTAACTCCATATTGAAAGTGGCATAAAGATAATACTAAATGATGATTTCCAAGAAAATCTGTGGAAAAAAGAAAGAGAAAGAGAAAGTGCTTTTTACATAAATAGCCAGAAATTTTAGTTGTGACTTCCAGTTAGAGTGAGGAAGCAACCATAGTTTGTAATGAATTATTACATGTTTTAAATGATTGATTACAACACAAGGCATCAATAATTTTTCACAAAGACAAGGCAAACAACAACCCAACAGTGACCAGAACAAAAAATTGGCTAAGTGTATTTATTTCTGGTTTCAACTTTCAAGCATGTTTGG